ATAGTTGGACCTGTTCGTGTTTATCACCAAAAGTGTGTGCATTTGAGTCATTCCACTTGAACATTCACATTTTTAGTGATGTGAAGAGGCAGCTCAGAGACCCTTCTGGGTGGAAGCCTGTAGAGCTCACAGTGATCCCAGGTCTGGTGTCATCCCCACTATGGGGCAAGGAGGGATCTCTGAGTGATAGGCTGTGGTTTCAGCTGGTTGCTCATTTACAAATAGCATTGGGGAAATGTGTCCTGAACCTTTACAGGTCAGCCTGAGGAACAGAGGACTTCTCCCTCTGGTGGTCTTTTAAGATTCCCTGTCCTTGCCCCTTCCCCAACTTAGTGACCGCTTTGGATGGAAACCTAAACTCCACAGACAGACCTTGCTTTATTTGCATTTCCAGTGTGTCCAGGACTCTGTATTTGCAATTACTTTGGGATCCTACCAGTACACTCCAGTGGTGTTAGAGGCTCCCCTGGTTGCTGGGTTTGAATCAGTTTGGTCACATCGCTTTCGTTGTTTGGTGTTCCTTTCTAGTATTTATATGCAGACAGAGCTTTCAGTTGACACTGTGTCTGTGCTGTATTTGGTTCATACCAGTATCTGCCAAGGGATCAGATGTCCTGTCATGTCCCATGCTGTGCAGACATAGATCATGAAGACAGGATCTGCTGTCAACAGCTTACGGAGTTCACCACGAGACAGGAGCAAGCAGATATGGACAGGACAGCGGCAAGAAGAGTAGGAGATGATAGATGGGTACAGGAAGTACAGGTCCCAGTACTTCAGCAAATGAACTTCTGTTAAGCTTTTTTTCATAGGCAGTTAGGCAATTGAGTGTTTTTTGTGGAGGGGTTTGCATTAGAGAAAGAACCTTTAGCATGTGGGGACACTGTGTCTGGTTTGTTGTAGGACAGTAGAAGGAAAAAAATCCCTCAACATGGGATAGAGGTGGGCAGTGAAGTCTGGCATCAACAAATTACCTTGTTGCATTGAACTGAGGTGATAGATAGGGTGGGGATGTTCTGTCATAGGTTTATTTTGTAAAATAAATGCCCTGTAGACGTTAGCAACCCAAAGTATTTCCTACTTCACAGTTACGCTTGGTGGCAAGTGTGGGCAGCTCTTGGTTTGATAATGGCCGATACTGTGACTCTGCTGCCTTGCCAAACAAGCTCCTTCACTTTCTGACATTTGAGGGTGGGCTTTTCAAAACACACCTGAGAATTAAATTACTTGCCCTTATTGAAAACCACTAGAAATGGGGCATTTAACTTCCTAAAATACTTTTGAAAATCCCACCCGTACTGTTTACCCTCATATTGAAGTTAAATGTCTCCATTCTTAATGGTCACTCCACAGTTCTCTGCTGTGCTCTGAGAATGAATGGTTCTTTCCTCTCTTGCTGCTAATACCCCAGGCATATTTATACAGAATCATGTTCCCCCTTAAATGCTGTTGATTTTGGCTCAGTAAGTGATTCCTTAGTTTAACCTGCCCCTGTAGGTTATTTTCTCAAGGCTTTATATTGTTCGTAATTCCCTTTATTATTGTCTGCCTCTTTTTGCATTTGAAGAAAATGAAATAAAATGCATTTTTCTAGGTTTTGCTTCAGCAGTAGATTGTCCAGTAAAGAATGGCTCATTTGCTGTCCTTTGGGAAGTGCTCCTAGGTGGGCTGCCTATGCCAGACTCTATTTGGCCTTCCTCCCAGTTACCTTTTATTGTGAAGTCAGGCAGGGCTTGCTCCCGCATTGGTTTAATTCAGCAGAAAGGTTTTCCCTCTTTTTGCTGTGCACTATTGCTTCTGCACTGAGGAGGACAAAAAAGAGCTGCAGGGATGAAATGGGTTCGTGGTTGGGAGTAATTTAAAGACAATTAGAGATACTGGGCAGCAAGGTGGGTGCACATGGGGTGCCAACCAGACCTTTGGCAGGTTCTCCTGTGGCACCCCTCAGGGGGAGGGGAGAGGAGGAATTTGCTACACTTCTAGAAAACTGGGAAGTTAATCCACTTCCTCCAAGTCAGGGCTGGAATGGTGCAGAGAACAGGAGGGAGCATTTCCAGCCATGATGCCACAAAGGCTTCTTTTGGCTTCTAGTGGTTTTGTGGTGGTCCCGGTTTCACATTAACGAGGACAGTTCTAGATAAACTTCACAGAATCACAGATTTCAGACCGTGTCCTTTGGGTGATGGAAACTTTGAACCTCGTTCATTTTTAAGAGAAAATATTAAGATTAGTAGCATTCCAAGATTTCAGACTGCGCTTTCCTGTATTGTTCCATAAATGTGTTTTTGTGGGGAAAAAAAATCGCCCTCCATAATTCTTTCTTGAAAATCCACCACAGCCTTTTTCTCCAAGTGAGCCTTTAAAAATAGGTGCTCCAAACACCTGCCTGCTTTTCTCATGGGTTGATGGGGAAGAAAATGCTGGGTTGACAGTAGAGTTTACAGTGAAGGTTCACTGGAAATACAATACCTGCTAACACCCCTCTTTCTCCATTAATTTGGGGAATTTCCAGCTCTTTTTATTTATGAAACTAGGGAGGGGAGAGGTCAAATTGTGGAGTTGGCTGCTACCGTGGAAGGGAACAACAGGTAGAGACACACCTTATGTCTAGAAATAATCACCCAGAAAAACTGTTTTAAAAAAAAGAGTGGGTGGGTACGAGGTGCAGTCTGGCTGAAGTGGGATCCAGCTTGGGGAAGGGGCAGGACCTCATGCTACACATGATTCCAGGTGTGTG